CGCCCGTTTGTGGGGCGAAAATGGTAAAGTGACATTTTCAGGCTTGGCTGAAATGTAAAACAATTCCTCAATCTAAGTGGCCCAATCCACCTTGTCCCTTCTATTTTGTACGTTTTTTTTGTTTCTCCACTTTTTGTTGAGATGTCTTATCAAATCACCTTTGCCTCTTCGTTTGGGGCAATGGCAATAATAAAAGGGACTGAAAAGGGGCCAAAGGAAGTACAACAAAGCAATCGGAAGCAGCGGAAATCAACGGCAAACAAAAGCCAAACACAGTCGCGCGCTGACTGCAGCCAGAAAATGTCCCATTTCCATTTCCATTTTCATTTTCATTTCCATTCCAGCGGACAACCCACCACCCACCACCCACCACCCATCGCAGCACCCGCCCCTCGCTTTTCCGCCCACGCCGCGGGGCATTTTCTCCTGTTGCTGCCGCTGACAGTTTTCTTTTGCCCTGACGCTCGGGGAATTTTTCCTCGTTTTGTCTTTTCCTTGGTCGCGTGCGCGCGCGAAAATTAGGAAAATATTGTTTTGCTTGCTTTGCACCGATTTCGTTTGCTTCTTCATTTTATTATTTATTTCGCTGCTTTTTTTGCCCAGCATCAAATAAGCGGATTTCAATTTCAATGCCGAATCAAAGTGGCGGCATTTTATTCAGTGGGCGTGGCCGCGGGGGGCGGGGCCGCTGATGGGGGTGGTGTCAGTCGCAGGGCGAAGAGCAAGAGGCAGCAGAGCAGCCAACTGCAATCTCGTCACATTGGCCAAAACAAAACTTATGGCTATCCCAAACCCGAAATTCGATGGATTTACACATTAAAAGCAAAGATCTTGGACAGCAAAGTTAAGGGGAATTAAGAATTTTATATCAGCGGTTATTTATTAATAAACAAATTACAGAACACTTGTTTTATACCAAATTGGGGTTTAAATATCATCTGTATCTCAGTTTAAAACGATCCCATTGTTGGAAGATACTTTATTAGGAATAATTATCTGAATAATAAAGTAACGAAGCAAAATAAATATTAAGCAAAATTCATTTTATTAGAAGCCATACCTTTAGGAATATGAATTTACTACTAAATATACTGCTTTGTTTTCCGATCTATGATCAATCAAAAGATGTATCTTTAAGCAAATTAAGGAGTGCATTTTGTCTCAAGTAAGCTGGTAAAACCAGTCGCATATTAATTATTTTGCCTGCTATCGATTCGGTTTGGGTTTCCACTTCGCTGGGTCACCATCCCCAGAAGTTCCCACTTACCACGCTGTCCTCCACTGTTTTTTTTTTGTTTATATTTTTATTTCGCTTCCAGCTTTTATTTGTATTTGATGTAGTGGTTGTTGCTGTTGCGGTTACCGCTTCGGTCCGCTGTTGTTGTTGTTGTTGCCTTAAATCCATTAGGATATGACAACCCCCTGGTTAAATTCAATTAAATTGTTTTCTCTTTGGGTTTACATTTCTTGGCAACTTTATAATTGTTTCATGTGTTTAAACCACTGCCGCCGTCTGAAAAGCCGCCGAGGAACTGGCGCAAGTGGGAACGGGACCCCAGTTGGCGAAACAAGGACGACACGGAGGACAATGGACAAAGGACGATGGGCAACTGGGGACCGAGACGCCGGCCCGCCGGCCCGCCGAGGCGCAAAGCCAAGAAGCACAGCATAAGAAATGTGTACGTACGATTGCCCAAGGTAAAACGGAGCAGCAGGATCTGGAGGGGATCGGGCGAACCGGCCGGGTCCGGGTCCGGCTACGGGCTGGCAAAGTGGAACGAAGTTTTCAGTAGCCTCAAGAGATTTTCCCCAGTCTTTAGCTTTTTTTTCTTCCTCTTGCACAATTTTTATCCCTGTGTGTTGTTTCCCTCGCCAGTTATAAGTATAGTATATATACCACCCATGTCCTGGGCTCCAAGGATCTGGCATTCGCTTGGGTCTCTGTTTGCCGTGGTTGTTTCGTGAAATAATCAACGAAAACGAGAAAAAATGAGAGTAGGCTAGAAATAAATAATAAAACAAAGACAAGGCAGCCGGCAGATGCGATTTTAACTAACTAACCTAATCAGATGAAATCAAAGGTCGTAATAATTCAATAAAATCGTAGAAAACTTGTGAGCTTAGGAAACAATATCAATAAAATGACAGTGACACTTTCAGGAAGCACAGCGGATTAAATAAATTAATTAATTTATTTATTTATTAGGACTTTAATTTTTGCGTTTTAAAGTGTGTCTTTAATTGCTTTCAGGTTTTGCGCCCACACCTTTGTCACTGAATTTCCGGATTTCGAGCCCTCGAACATATTTTCGAGCATTCCATCTTGAACATGTGTTGGTTTTTTTTTCCACCAACCCCTGTACACTTCACCCTTGTTCATTTATTTTCCATTTTTTTTTTTTTTTTTTTTTTTTTGGACAGTCACAGTCGCCAGTTCGCGAAATCACAGCAGCGCACACAACATATCCAAAATGGGGGGAAAAAGATTGGAAATAAGAAACAAGAAAGCAAAACCCTCCGCTGAGGAGGTGGAGTTACAGTTTTACATGTGGTGGCGGTGACGGTGACGGTGACGGTGACGGTGCCGGTGACGTCGCCATCACCGGCGGCTGACGGACCAGAAAATAAGCATCCTGGCTCATTCCACAACGCTCCTGGCCACTCCACCTGGGCTGTCCGACTGCTCACCGCCGCCGAAGCTGATGTTTTTGGCGTGCGGTAAATGGCAAGGACGAGTCAGCGGTGGTCTCGAACCCACACCACGCCACATACCATACCATACCATACCATTCCATACCATGCCATTCCATCCCAACCCATAGCAGCGCAGCGTTTCGTTACTTGGCAGTCACCGCGCAAATGTTACAAATATTTGAAATATTTAAAATGGTACGCACACACAGGACACAAATATGCGCCTGTATGTGTTAACATGTGGATGGGTGGCCCCAAAACTTTCTCACCGAGACCTTTTTGCATTATTAATGGCAAATTTCAATTAGCCTTTTGAACTAAACGCAGCCAAGCGAGGTTCGACCGAAAAGAAGTTTGAAACAGTTGCACGTTTTCACGTTTGTGTTCTTGGTAAATATATAAATCTGTAAAAATTGTGCCAAAAAATTATTAGTATTTCTTTTTTAACTTTTGCAATCAGGCACAATGTTAAATTTCCTTCTAGTTATAGGCTAGAGTTATAGATTTGTAAGAACAATCTGACGTTTAATAGTCTGGTAACCACCCTCGCTAATGCCAATTTAATGTTTTTGTTTTGTTTGGCATAAAAGTCGAATGCTGAAAGTGTGTGTGTGTGTGGGTGTGTGTGTGTGGGTGTGGGTGAGCACCTGTGGACATATTTCAAAGCTGAGTAGGCAAACGAAGGGGATTCCCCACCTCGGCCACGCCTTCACTTCTTCCGCAGAGGACTTTCCGCTCACTTGGAAAAATCACTGCGTTTTCAAAACATTTTTACAATACGATTTTTCAAGGTCTCCACTCTTGAATTGTGGATGGAAATGTAACACATAAGCTACAGTTTAGTTTAAAAATGATTTTTCCTTTCATTTTAATTAATATCTATTGCACAGCATAATTTTTGCGAGTGCTGGATTTCAGCCTCCATAAACTCCCAGGGGCATGTGTGTAAAGGTAAGCACTTCCGCTTCCGCTTCCACTTCCACTTCCGCTTTCATGTTGTGCTCCTCCCCCCTGCCGCTTCCCTTTTGGCCAAAATATGAAATGAAAGATAAGCAAGCCCGAAATCAGCTTCGCACACAGAGGCTTCAAAAGGTAAAGTTGCCCACCTGGTTCGCCCGCACAGATCTAAATTATTTAGGGATAATTTGAGTGTGCAGCATTTTTGTTATGATTGCTCTGCTGCACTCATATTTACATATGTCCACGAGCTGAAGGAAATGAAAACAGTGAGGCGGACCAAGTGTAACAAAAGGAAATCCAGCCGAGCGCCAAAAGAGATGGAAAATTGAGCGGGCGGATGCTGAAATGTCCTTTGGTTATTTTGCGGTTTTTGTACAATATATATGTTTCGGTTTTTTTGCTGCTGTCTGTGTTTTGTCTTTTATGACAGCCGCTTCTCACGCCCACTGGCACTCCAATTTCCCCATGTCCTTGCATTGCTGCCCATGCCTGGCATTATCCTTTTGACCAGAAGCCTGTCGTACAGTGAAGCCCACCGATGCCATTTCTTAGCCGCATAACCGCAAGTACTTTTCAATGACAGCCGTTTGGCGTCCTGAGAAACGGAAACTGTGCAAAAACCCATTAACATTTAGTTATGCGATCAATCAAAATGTGCCGGAACTAGCCTTGTTTTTATTTACTCATGCATTGTTTAAAATAAAATGTGAGTGTCTAAAATGGTTTACAGCCCTGGCTGAGCAGGTAGGATGCTCCTCCATCGCCCATCGCCCATCGCCCATCATGGTTGTTGTCCTCATCTTGTCGTGGTTGTGCGACTCCTGCGGCAAATGAAAATTAGTTGTTTACTCTGTGCAACATAAACAAATAAGCGCAACGTCCACCGTCCACCGTCCACCGTCCACTGTTGCAAATGGAAGCTCCGTTGGCTGGGCCCATCGAGGCATTAAAAAGAAATCATTTATCAGAGCTACAGACGGCACCAGATGAGGAGCCATGGCAGCAGCAAATGCAAATTGAAAACCGACGACAAGAAGTGGGGCAGAGCCTCAAGATGAGGGGCACTTGCCGTGCTGCTGGGGCAATCCCAAATGGAATCTGTCATAATTCGCTGCGACGGCACTTGAATGCAGATACTCAGGGCTGCAATAAATCTGGGCGAGCTATTTTGGAATTTGTTCTTAGGACAGACGCGGTTTATTGCTCCCATGCAATGTCGCTGCATAATGACGAGATCACTCCCCAAATCCCCACCAGAACTGGAGTGGATTAGCACGCAATCTTATCGCGCTTATCAGAATGCTTAATATCAGTCAGGATTGAAAAGTAATGCATACAACATGGTGTTGGATATAATGTTTATTTATGTAGTGTATTATGTATCAATCGGCAGAACGAATGGGAAACTTTGCAGGTAGTGCTATCAAAGTGGCATGTTTATCATATGCGTTTCCGATGGATTGGGAGTGCAGTAATTTAGCTTGACATCAGGTTGCATCCACGCTCATTGAGGTTGCGGCTGGTTGGGAGCGCTCTTGCAACGCTCTTCAGATTGAAGAGCCCGCTGCTTGGCCTTCTCGTAAATGGGCATCAATTGGCCAGTCTCGCCCAGCTGCTTCAGCAGCTCGATGATGAAGGGCAGATAGTTGTGGCGGCGACGAGTGTTCTCCTGGCGGTAGCGACGCTTCTTCTCCTCCTCGAATTTGACGAATTCCCTCAGGGTGGCGATCTCCAAACGACGCTCCGCGTGACTCAGCGGCGATGGCTGGTGGACGAGCAGCTGGATCTGGCGCTCGTAGCTTCGCTGGGGATCCGAGACCAAGGCCATCAGATTGAAGTGGATCTCTCCGACGCTGTAGCGCTCCATGCGCGCCTCTATAAACGGTCTGACCACATCCAGCCAGTTCTGTTGCTGGCCAATCTCGGCCAGCTCGATGGGACCCTCCTGCATGCCGTCCAACTCGTACAGCTTGCCCTTTATTGGCATGAAGCCCACAAAGTGGTAACAGAAATCATCGGGCGAGCACGGAAGCGGATCAAGCTGGAAGAGCACGGGTCGAGCAAAGGAATTGTGTACTTTACGGATCTTCTCCTCCTTGCCCAGGCAATGACCACGGGTCCCTGGATCCAGATCCTGGCACAGGCTCTTGAAGTCGCTCAAGGTCTGACCCAAGTCGATGTCCGCATGGCGCAGATTAAGCAGCAGCGAGAGCAGCGCCTGCGTGGCACAGGCATTCGATATAACCTGGCGAGCGAAGAAGATGTCACTCCTGTCGGTGACCACGCGGCCAGCGGGCTTGTCGTCCACCCACTTGAACAGGAAAATCAGGCCATGTATGGGCTCCAGGTGGTGGAAGGCGTCTGCATCCAGGGTCCAGATCTCCTCCACCTGGGCACCCGTGCAGCCAAAACCGCGGATCAGCTCGGTGAAGACACCCGGGTCGCTCTCAATCAGGCACCAGTCGCCGTCGACCTCCTCGGTGGTTCCTGCAGCAGGATTCTCTGCGGCCATGGCTGAGGGACTTCTGGCTTGATGTGCGTTTGGTCGAGGAAGAGGAGGGTTTTTGTTTTTTTGTCTAATCGAAACCGGCTAAAAACACACGTCACGGTCGGAATTTTGGGCTCGCTGTGATTTTTGTGACACTTGACCTGCGCCGTTTGATGTGCACGCCTACTTGATTAATTGACTGCTCATTAATTGAGTTGAAACTCAGCCGTTAAAGGGGTAGTAATCAGCTATTGCCAGCATTTTTCTCAGTGCATAAAGAGCCGAAACCCATTAAACTATTTGTCCCTTCTTATCGCTCCTTCTGATTAAGCTTATCAATATTTTCCTTCCTTAAATTTAGAAACCGCTTTATTTGTGTTTTTATATTTAATTACCCGTCTGAAGATTACAGCTGCCTCGCAAGCTGGCCAAAACTTTCCTTTAAACGCCGCCAATTTACCCATTTGCTGTGCTCAACATTTTTAAGTGGTTTCCATGCACGCCGAACCTTAGGACCCTTTAAGGAATTTGAACTTCGCGCACAAATATTTTCGACAGGCATGCAAAATAAACCCGGAATTCCTCAGCAGCCACCCCTTCGCTTCCCTCCGCTCGTTTTCCCATTTTCAGTCATAATTTGGGGCTTTCTCAGCCATCGAGGACGCGCGCCGCAATTCGCCAGCCTCGGAATAAATGAAGCCCTAATGAGCCGCAATCGATCAACTTTGCTGATGTGATATGTGATGTGGCTCACCCTAATGCGTATACTCGCATATCCTCCTGATGCGGTGTATCTGGGCGTGGGAGCCACTGGGCCTCGCCAGGCGACCGCCTGGGGGATAATAAGTGCGTTGGAGCATCAAATCAATAAAACGCGCACACACGCGCATGGGACAGTGGGCACTGGCCATTGGATATGGAACATGGGACACGGGACACGGGACATGTGCGGGTCGCTCGTCCCACTGCCACAAAGAATTCGCTGCATCAGTGGCTGCAATTGCGAAACATTGTTAATTTATGCAAATTTAGCCAACGCCGCTCGCTTTGTGCAACGCCAATGAGGCAAGAGGCCCCACAACTGGAAGCTCCACGGCATCGTCCTAGCCGCGACCATGGCCAAAGCCGCGACCGCAGCGCCAACAACATTAACGGAGGAGCTGCAGCTGCCGCTGCCGCTGCCGCTGCAAAGGGCTGCGAAAGGTGGAAGCCAAATGCGGCCCTCCGGGTGCCCATGCATAATTTGACCCACCACCTTGCCTCATTTGCATGGGCCTCCATCGGCCATCGGCCATCGGCCATCGCCCGGATCCGGCTGCCAACCTCAAAGCCTATTTGGGTTTGGGTCCACTCCAGCCGCTGGGTTCCGAGCGAATTAGCACTCATCTGGCCAGAAGGCTGCTCATCGATGGCCACTCCGGCAGTCACAATATTAAGTACAGTCAAAACAATGCCAGCAATTCAATAAATAAGTAATGACCATATGTATCTAATGGATACTATCTATGCCTTGCTTTGCATTTGAAATGCCAGCTTGAACACGACTATCAACTATTTGGTAATTAAGATACAATGAACCTTTGCACATAATTGCAGTGTATACATATTTGATAATACAAATATATGGCTAACTGTATTTATTGTATTGTCTAGACACGCGAAAACCGCAATTTGACTACGCCTGCATTGCATTTACCATTTTTATTTATTGTTTTTTATTTTTTCAACTCGATATTTCGTTTTTGTTGCACGGCTTAACCGCATTAATGGCAAATAAAAAATGTGCAGCAAATTCCACTTAATTGTTCAATTTTCGTCAGTGGCCGGGTTCAAAGGGCATATGCAATGGGCCAGGGCAAGGGGCGGGGAGAGGGTCAGGGTCAGGGTCAGGGAGGCTCCAAGTTCAAAGGGACACGTGGGATCCATGACAGATGTGCGACCTCCGGGCAATAATGCACACTGCAGGTGTCCATTTCCACTGGTAATTGTGGCTTCCGGGGAGACGGGATTTCGCCGATTTCTTATGATTACTTACAATCCCTGTTCTTGTGTTACCTTAGATGCTCGGCCTCCAAGCGCTCCTCCAGTTATACAATGCCTTTGGGATCCGCTCAGCCTCCATGTCAGCTGACAAGTTCTGTCCCAACTGATTGGGATTTGGATTTGGAGTGCACTAAAAAGAAAATTTGGTAAGAAAATAGCCGCTTTGGCCAGGAAACTGCACCCGGAGACTTGCTCGTGGGTTACGCGGTCTGTTGACCCGGGTTAAGCCGGGTTAAGTGCAGCTTGACGAAGAAGTGGGTACTGTCTGTCTGTTAATATCTGTTATGATGTTTATTTAACTAGCTGGGGGCAAATAAAGCAAAGACTCCAGCCAACGGAAATGCGCAGCCCGCTTTATCAACATTTGCCTTGACGTTAGTGTGGGCCAAGATTAAGATTACGTACTCAAGAGTCAAGACAAATGGTCGGAAACAGAAGGTGCTGCCAGCCAAGATCTAAGATCTCAGATAACAAGTCTGAGTCATGCCAGTAGTTGGATTGCTAAGTGCGTGGTACCTGCAGCTATCAACTATATCAATGCCCCTTTGGAAAATGCCATATCACTCAATCGGCTTAGAAATGGCTGATTTGGTGGATTTGGTGGATTTGGTTGCTGTGGTGGATTTGGTGGATTTGCTGGACTTGGTTGATTTTGGACACTTTGTAGGCCTGTGTGTAACCTGCGCCGCAATACCATAAATTGGTTAGCCACACGGCTATCGCGAAAGCAAACAAGCGATTATCGCGTATTTGGCCAGCGTCAGCAGAGATTTTGCTCGGCAAGATTTCGCTGGAGATTGGAAGATAGCGAGATATTTTGCATAAAAACCCGGTAGGTCGGCATGCTGGGGATAGTAACGATTCTTCATTCGAACCAAAAACACATCCCACGAACACGATGACAACGAACCGATCCACCAGACTTCTGGTGTTGCTAGTGGTAATTGCATAATACCGGAACTACCGTCCTACCGAACCCCGGGTTCCATCCTAACTGGCATCGAACATGGTGGCAATGGATTTTGTACACCAGCTTTTTTTTTTTTTTTGCTTTTCTGTTTGGTTATCAATTTACTGACGAGTTGTACATGTATATATATTTTGTTGGAATCCAAACGGTGTGGCACTTGGATACGCACATGCCCACCTCCGCCGAAAATAATAACGCACCAATCAAAATCGAATCCGTAACCGAATCCGAATCCGAATCCGTAATCGAATCCGTAACCGAATCCGTAGCTCCCGGGACTCTTGTTACTTTGGATAACGTTCAAAGCGCTCGGCGATCACTCGAAAGTATCCTATGCAAGTGAAACCAATAAATCACAGTGTAATTGTTGAGGTCCCGAGACAAACAGTGCACCGACCCAATCCCCTGCAGCCCGCACCCACTAACACTATCCACCACCCACCGCCCGCCGGTGGCTTCTGCCTCTCTCTTCCACAGTTGACCGCCCTGGTGGCCAGGCAACAGGTGCACGCCGCCGCCGTGGGACTGAAGTGCGAGGGAAAGAGCGCCGTCTGCGTGGGACCACTCTCCTACCAGCTGTGCGTCGATGACCTGACCTCCGGTCCGGTGGTGCCCTGCGAACTGAACACCCGCTGCGTCACCGACGGCCTCGAGATCTGCGTGCCGGTCAAGTCGGCCGCCGAGGCGCCCACGGCGGCGGTTGCCAAGATGGTGACCATCACCGACAGCCCCGTTGTGAGTGAGTCCGCTCCGCTCGTGGATTCCACCAGCAGTGGTGCCGGCGTGGAGATCTCCACCGAGGGTGCTGGTGCACCAGCCGGCGTTGTTCCGACTAAGCCATCTGCTCCGGCGGTGACCACTCAGGCTCCGGTGGAAACCACGCAGGCTCCGCTTGAAACCACTCAGGCTCCGCTTGAATCCACTCAGGCTCCGCTGGAAACCACTCAGGCTCCGCTAGAAACCACCCAAGCTCCCGGCGAGACAACTACAGTAGCCATTGAGGAGACCACCACTGGATCGGAAGCACCACTGGAGCCGGAGTCGACGGTGCCCAGCAACACAGCTCCCGTGGACTCCACATTGTCACCCGGATCGGAAGGCACTAACCCAACCATTGAACCCAATGCGCCAGGAGCAGACCCCAACGCTCCCGCGGGAACTACTCTTGCTCCAGGCGAACTCGACCCCAATTCCCCTCTGGACCCCAACGCACCCGAAGAATCTACTAACGAACCCGGATTAGTTGACACCACCCTACCGGCTGACACCACTGTTGCTCCAGATTCTCCTGTCGAAGGATCAACCGCAGCTCCCGGAACCCCGGCTGATGTAACCACTGCCGCTCCTGGAAACCCAGCTGATGTCACTACTGCCGCTCCTGGCGCTCCAGCTGAGGGATCCTCTGCCGCTTCTGGCGCTCCAGCTGAGGGATCTTCTGCCGCTCCTGGTGCTCCTGCTGATGTTACCACCGCCGCTCCTGGCGCTCCAGCTGAGGGATCTTCTGCCGCTCCTGGCGCTCCAGCTGAGGGATCTTCTGCCGCTCCTGGCTCTCCTGCCGAAGGATCCTCTGCTGCTCCTGGCTCTCCTGCCGAAGGATCTTCCGCAGCTCCTGGTGCTCCTGCTGATGTTACCACCGCCGCTCCTGGCGCTCCAGCTGAGGGATCTTCTGCCGCTCCTGGCGCTCCAGCTGAGGGATCTTCTGCCGCTCCTGGCTCTCCTGCTGAAGGATCTTCCGCAGCTCCTGGTGCTCCTGCTGATGTTACCACCGCCGCTCCTGGCGCTCCAGCTGAGGGATCTTCTGCCGCTCCTGGCGCTCCAGCTGAGGGATCTTCTGCCGCTCCTGGCTCTCCTGCTGAAGGATCTTCCGCAGCTCCTGGTGCTCCTGCTGATGTTACCACCGCCGCTCCTGGCGCTCCAGCTGAGGGATCTTCTGCCGCTCCTGGCTCTCCTGCTGAAGGATCTTCCGCAGCTCCTGGTGCTCCTGCTGATGTTACCACCGCCGCTCCTGGCGCTCCAGCTGAGGGATCTTCTGCCGCTCCTGGCGCTCCAGCTGAGGGATCTTCTGCCGCTCCTGGCTCTCCTGCTGATGGATCTTCCGCAGCTCCTGGTGCTCCTGCTGATGTTACCACCGCCGCTCCTGGCGCTCCAGCTGAGGGATCCTCTGCTGCTCCTGGCTCTCCTGCCGAAGGATCTTCTGCCGCTCCTGGTGCTCCTGCTGATGTTACCACCGCCGCTCCTGGCGCTCCAGCTGAGGGATCTTCTGCCGCTCCTGGCGCTCCAGCTGAGGGATCTTCTGCCGCTCCTGGCTCTCCTGCTGAAGGATCTTCCGCAGCTCCTGGTGCTCCTGCTGATGTTACCACCGCCGCTCCTGGCGCTCCAGCTGAGGGATCCTCTGCTGCTCCTGGCTCTCCTGCCGAAGGATCTTCTGCCGCTCCTGGCGCTCCAGCTGAGGGATCCTCTGCTGCTCCTGGCGCTCCAGCTGAGGGATCCTCTGCCGCTCCTGGTGCTCCTGCTGATGTTACCACCGCCGCTCCTGGCGCTCCAGCTGAGGGATCCTCTGCCGCTCCTGGCGCTCCAGCTGAAGGATCTTCTGCCGCTCCCGGCGCACCAGCTGATGTTACCACCGCCGCTCCTGGCGCTCCAGCTGAAGGATCCTCTGCCGCTCCTGGCGCTCCAGCTGAGGGATCCTCTGCCGCTCCTGGCGCTCCAGCTGAAGGATCTTCTGCCGCTCCCGGCGCACCAGCTGATGTTACCACCGCCGCTCCTGGCGCTCCAGCTGAAGGATCCTCTGCCGCTCCTGGCGCTCCAGCTGAGGGATCCTCTGCCGCTCCTGGTGCTCCTGCTGATGTTACCACCGCCGCTCCTGGCGCTCCAGCTGAAGGATCCTCTGCCGCTCCTGGCGCTCCAGCTGAGGGATCCTCTGCCGCTCCTGGCGCTCCAGCTGAAGGATCTTCTGCCGCTCCCGGCGCACCAGCTGATGTTACCACCGCCGCTCCTGGCGCTCCAGCTGAAGGATCCTCTGCCGCTCCTGGCTCTCCTGCTGAAGGATCTTCTGCCGCTCCTGGTGCTCCTGCTGAAGGATCTTCTGCCGCTCCTGGTGCTCCTGCTGATGTTACCACCGCCGCTCCTGGCGCTCCAGCTGAGGGATCCTCTGCCGCTCCTGGCGCTCCAGCTGAGGGATCTTCTGCCGCTCCTGGTGCTCCTGCTGATGTTACCACCGCCGCTCCTGGCGCTCCAGCTGAGGGATCCTCTGCCGCTCCTGGCGCTCCAGCTGAGGGATCTTCTGCCGCTCCTGCTGATGTTACCACCGCCGCTCCTGGCGCTCCAGCGGAAGGATCTTCTGCCGCTCCTGGTGCTCCTGCTGAAGGATCTTCTGCCGCTCCTGGCGCTCCTGCTGAGGGATCTTCTGCCGCTCCTGGTGCTCCTGCTGAAGGATCTTCCGCAGCTCCTGGTGCTCCTGCTGATGTTACCACCGCCGCTCCTGGCGCTCCTGCTGGCTCAGTTATACCATCGATTCCGGTACTTCCTGGCGGAGCTGGCTCTTGGCCTTGGCATCCTCGACCGAACATTCCAATCCTGCCGCCAACCTGGAGGCCTCTTCTTCCTGGACAAAATGGCTCAGGTGCTCCTGGCAGTGGGCTAATCAATGGCAGCGTCAACCCGCCCCAACGCCCACATCCCTTCTGGCCCAACTGGCAAAACTGGGTGAACAGCTGGCGGCCAACAAAGCCAGTTCCTGTCCAACCGCAGAACCCTCAACAGCCTGGAAACAGCAATTCCGAGAACGCCGAAAGCGTGGAGCAGGCTGCTCCAGTTCCACCAGCCGAAGGACCAGCGTCCAACGAGAATGCCTCCATTGAGGACAGCAACAAAGCTTCCAGCGAGAAGTCGAAGGACAAGCCAAAGTCCGGCGAGGATCAGTCCAAGGAGCAGGAGCAGAAGAAGCCGAGCTCTGAGGAGAAGGAGAAGGACAGCAAGGAGAAGAACGACAAAGACAGCAAGGAGAAAAAGGACAGTGACAAAAAGGAAAATAAGGACAAGTCCAAGGAGGAGAAGGAGAAGGACAACGAGTCCCAGAAGGACAACGAAGGCGACGACGAGCCGAGCTCCAAGGAGAAGAAGCGATTCGTTAAGGAGCTGATCAACAAGCTGAAGAAGAGCGACGAGTGCGACGAGGACGACGTCTATCCGGATGTCCGCGACTGTCGCAAGTACTACCGCTGCGAGGTGAAGAACTCCGGCAAGCACAAGTTGGCCCACCTGCGCTGCGACAAAAATGAGCGATTCGATTGGCTTGCCGAGTCCTGTGTGCCCAAGGACGAGGCCCGCTGCCTGGAGAAATAGGACCTGTGCCAGTCCACATCGCCACCTCCGTTCGCCCTGCCGCTTTCCTATGATAATCCACAATCAACTGTAATATTGGCAATGATATTCTATCTCCATTTGCTTGGTCCAACCTAATTTATTGCGCTTAAATATCCTTAATTTGTTTGTTTTCCCTATTAAATCTTGAACTTCATGAAAATCTGGCAAATCAATTGTCTCCCTGGGCTAAAAACACCATCAGATTTCCATGCTTAAGTGCGTTTAAAGCACAGCTGTTTTAAGTCTCGTCCAGTCGTCCTTCTTGTTCCCAACAATTTGCTGATTATGCCTCCAATCCGCCTCAATGGTGCATAATGAGTAGGGGAAGTTTGGCAAAGTTGCCGCGGCGCTTCCTTAAAGCATCTCAGCTCACTTACACTCGCCAAGCTTTTTTCCTATCTAAATATTTAGTGTAGCATACAATTTTGAAGTGAAATGTAAACAGGAGCAAAACGCGCTGAGGGGAAAGTGCATTGGGCTGGCTCCGGTTGAGGCCAGAAGGCAGTTATAGTGGAGTCCCTGACCCCCAACTGCAGGATACCGGATCCAGAGTGGGGGAGTGAAGCAGAGCAATACACTTAAGTTGATTCGCTGTCATCCATTGCAGCTCATTTATCATTAGATGGAGTCACACAGGACCAGGCCTGGCGACAGTTTCAGTGTCGTCTAAGCAGGAGGAGGAGGAGGAGCACGGAGGTGGATCAAGGACGGGGGACATGGGCGCGTCAAGAGCAAGCCCAACACTTTGCTGGGAACGAAAAGCGGGGGGACCACGACTACGACGACGACGACGACGACGACAACGACGACGAAGTAATTCAATTTTTATCGTGGGTAATTTTGTAACGAGAAACGAAGCAAGCAAATGCAATGGGTTTGGGGTTTGCAGCTTTACGGGTATATAAATATATATATCTATATACATATATATGTATAGGGGATGCACGGGTGTGGGTGCAGGATATAAAGGACCGTCGCTGACCGTGCTGATAAGAGAGAGATGGAAATGTTATACAGCCACTGACACGGGAATTGCGTACTGACACCAAAAGCCAGAGCCTTAACCCTCCAACAGCAGAGGGACCACAGCCTATTCCCATGGATGCATCTATAAAAACCTATCCCAAAACGACTATTTCTCGCAGGTATCACGATCCACGCGCTGTTACCCATGCCAATTAAAGTTGGCATGCTGATTACTGGCTTCTTTTGCGAGAACAAACGAGCAGAGTAAACAGGCGAGCTTGTTGGTTAATTAATCAGATTTCGATTTGCAACTAGTTGGCAGCGTTAGAGGGTTAAGAGCAGAACGGGTCGAGGTCGAAATAGACATGAACGGTGGGCGGCGGGTGGTGTCGTGACACGGAGTGGTGCAACGCAATGTGCGACCATACGTTGAAAATTCAATTTGCCTGATGACTTGCTGTGGTTTAAATACGGCCAAAAAGCGACAGCGCACATTAAACTCATTGCCGCCGTTGTGGCCAAACGGATAAAAGGCGAAACGGACCGGCGACGGGCACCATGACTACAGCACCATGCTGGACCCGTTGCCCAACAGATTCACCCATCCATGTCCAGCCAGCTGCACATTATATACTTATGCATACGATGCAACAAAAAAGAAAAAAGCGACGAGCCACAAAAAAATAAAGAACAAAAAAAGTCACACAAGAGCAGCAGCAGCAGCAGCAGCAGGACCAGGACAAAAAAATAAAGCCAGCGGAATGAGACAGCGGCGCGCAAAAAGCGTAAACTTTGTTAACTCCATTTGACAACACGGCGGGAGTGGAGCAGAGTGCACGGAGCACGGAGCAGGAGCATGGAATTCAGTGCCCCATAGTCCGGTATGGGTATGGAATCCAGGCCGACAGCCAGGCCACATGGACGCACACGGACCCACTTGAAGCCAGGCCGTTGATTGCATTTCACGCGCTTGGAAAATCAATTTTTATTTAATTAATGTGCCTCGTTGTATGCATTACACATATGCCGGACCCGAGCCATGGTGAAAGTACTACATAAAGCTAGCGATATATAGGTTGATGTAATATCCACGTAATAATAGCGCAGCGTGCTGAAGATTTAGTTATCGGGAAAAGGGTAAACCTCAACCCATCAAACGCAACCTACTCCACAGCTTTATTAGTTTGACATAGTTTCCCGGCTAAGGTATGTTCAATTAATGAGTAATATTTTCCTCATCTGATGTGTTTTTCTTTTTTTTTTGTTTCCTTTTACAACCACTCGTCAGTGGATCCGCTGCTCCCACTCATCCGACACCACCTTTTTACTAATGCCAGCTCAAGACTTCTTTCCGCCCACGCGATTCCCGTAGAGCTCTACCTTTCGCCAACTCCTGGAGCGCCCACGAAACCAAAGAGAAGCCCTCCATCTATTGTACACCAACCGCCGCCAGGGCATCCAACTGACCGAGCTTGGGTCTGGCTTTGGGAATTCCCGTAGAAGCCAGTAACATCAATCAGCGATCCCATCTAAATGCCATCAAATGGCATTTTCCACCGCCGCCCGTAAGGAAGCACAATGACGCCGCGGGGAGTTTGCCGTGGAGTCAAGTGGTGGGTGGATGAGTGGGTGGGGTTTTCCTTTTTTTATTGTGGATCTGCAAGGTGATGCAACAAACAATGGCGGGAGCACGCTAACTGGCAACTTGTACTTCCATATTTAATATTCACATTTCAATTGTTTTTTTCCTCTCTTTGTTTTCATTCCGGCGAGTGTGTGGGTGGATGGGTGGATGGTGTGCACCCGAGTTTTCACCATCACCCAAAATGGATTCATTGCGCAATTTATCCAGCTTGGGGTTCGGTTCGGTTCGGTTCCTTGGCCCCAGTGAGTTTTTCCCTGTTTGCTTTGACTTTTGAGCTTTCCTTTACTTTTCTTTACGTTTCTTTTCTTTTCTGTCAAGGAATCCGGCAACAGCTACTCCTGCACATCCTAACCCATCGCCAACGCTGCCTTGTATTTATAAAATTTTCATAAAGTTTCGTGTTATTAAAAATGGAATATATTCTCGCGCGAATACGCAATGGAATATTAATAGCATGAAAGAGCTTGAATTTTAATACAGATCCGCAAATAACTGGTACATAAGTAGCAGCCAAGGCAGCACAGTTTCATATCCTTTAGGAGTCAGGCATGAGCGAAAGTCCTTTTCCTGTCAATGGAAAATCTGTGCATATCTCCGTAAGGGTCAACATTCACGTTTTCACACACTTGCTTGCCGCACTTTCAGAAAATCATCAAGATAAGATCGCGGTTAAAATGTTTAACGATTTGCGAAAAATCCAAATCCATAAAGGATCCACAGCCAACTATTTGAGTAGTTATGAGTTTGAAATTGGTCAGTCACAATATATATGTACATATTTTAAAGCCAGCAGCTGGCTCTTTTTGTTCAGTGCATACACGCATCCATGGCAAATGAAGGTGTTCCGTCAAAGGAAACATGCTCGGCGTTTTCACAATATATCACAGCGTGAAAATGGAGCATGGCCAACAGGATGACCCAGTAAGTGAACCCGAATCCGGAGTCCAGACCAATCTGGGTGCCAAAGTTCGCAGCCAGTCAGGCCGAAATGCTGTGCAGGTGTTGGCTGCCAAAGGTAAAGCCAGGTCCTTCTGTCCGCCAAGCGGATGCGGGGTAATTGCCTTGAAAGGCCGCTGAAAGCCCTCAAACAAATTATAAATTGTTTCTCCACGGCGAGTGGCCCGACTCAAAAGGGGTTAACAACATTTGACGGCAGCAGCCCAAATTCAACTCACTCATTACCCCGACTCTGGATCTGGATCTGGCTCTGGCTCTGGCTATGGCTCTGGCTATGGCGCTGCTTCCAGGCCCATCTGCAGCTCTAGCTCCTTGTCCTTCTTCGCCTGTCTTATCTGAGGCCGCTGATCCATCACCTGGCGCATGGAGCATGGCGCCTGGAGTCGAAAGTGCCGGGCTCTGGTGTCCTGGGTCCTCAGTCCGTTGTGAGGCATTTTCTGATTGCGTGTGCATTTTTAATGCCGCCTGACTTTTGGCCTTTCAGCCACTACGCACTTCATTCATCAATGTGCCTGGCCTAAATGGAGCCACTCTCCACTGCCTCGGTGGCCACCGCCTTCTTCCCGTCAAGACAAATGATGATGTGTATCCAGATTCCTTTTCGACATTTCCCTTTTGTTTTACTCGCTGCGGAGCTGACCTCCTGCTCCTCGGTTTTCGCATCCTACTCTTTCCGCAGGTCCGCTTACTTTTGTCGGGTGGCTTGCACTGCTCATATGGTGTTATTATAATCATGTGCTTATCAGGCCAAATGCAATGGCAAAAATGGCTCTTACAGAATGAATATTACTATTTGGTTTTAAATGCACCATTCTGTAGTGGATTAAACTAAAACTGTGCAGTAAATAAATCGAAACGAGCTTCAATTCAAAAGATTTTGTTGCCTACTTTCGGGCAACTTAAAAGGCGATTTCTCCAATTCTGCAAAGATAAACAAACATATATGTATGCACATTTGTATGTAAATATTTGAAGGGTATACCAAGTTCGGCCATCAGACAGTCGGTCTCCTTGCGCTCGCAGTGCTTACTTTGATTTTTATAAATTTTAGATGGCACACGCCTTTGCCCTTTGCCATCGCATCGCATCGCGTCGCCTTCACCTGCGATTCTGTGCTGTTCGCTAATGAAATATGAATAATTAACACTGTGTTTTCTTTCTTGTTCTACTTCATTTGGAGTTCATTATTTTTGGCTCACTGCATTTGGCCCTGCTATTTGACTTTTGGCCTCGCCCGCGTTGTCATATCTTGGTGAAGGGATTCTATTCCGTGATTTCCGGCTAATTACGCCGTAGTGGAGCCAGTTATTTCGTCAATTATTTATGCAAAAGCTCTTGCAGATTGGTAGCAATTTTGTTTGTTTTCTTTACCGCTTCGATATTAGATCGCTTCAGCGATTCGATACCGATTCTCAACGATAAGCTATCGATTAAAAGGCACTCGGTCCACATGTCCTCAAGTCTAGTAAATAATTTCTTCACTAGTAATTTTTAATTTTCCATACATATGTATACAAACCAACCATAAAATATTGCCTGTAAATATATTGGTATAATATAAATAAGTAAGTTTATCGAAAACAATCGATTGCTTGTAAGAGGTGTAGTGTGAAAGAATCGAAAGCAGAAGAACGCATCGTTTAAAGTTTTTTGAGATGTGTTTAAAAAATGACATTCTATCTGGAACACGTGTTTACTGGCGATATGATTCACCTGGACGAGGGTGTCCACATTATGGGACGTCACTCTAATTGCACCTCTATACTGAAGTACGACTACATGTCCCGATTCCACGCCCTTGTTTTGGTTAAGCATGGCAAAATTTTCGTCAAGGAGCTGGTAAGATACGTATTACGATGGTGCCGCCGATAGTAAACCTCTTCGCCTTCCCCAGGAAACCTACAACGGCGTATTTATCAACTATTCGCTGGAGCGAGTTGGCACGGAATGGCAGGAACTGTCCGTGGGCGATGATCTGTGCTTTGGGGTTAAACTATACGGCGAGGTCGCTGAGGAGATCCCGATTACGTTCGGGATTTTCACCGTTAAGGAGGAGGAGCTGCACCACTCGCTGGCTGTCGACAACGGTAATGGACAACACAACGGAGAGCCATCCAGTTCCCCATAAACCGGGTGCAGAAATGCAAATGCCCCACTTAACGACACAATCCCGTTTGGGGCGTTAATTTTCCAAGCCCGATAAGACCATGGAACTGGATCCTAAGGACCAGAGTCCTTGCATACAAATCGCCAACAAGAAGCTTCTGCAGTCCGACAAAAACCACACACAGTTGCGGCTGAAATAATAGGAATTACTTATTTGTATCAAGTACAATCAACTAATAGTATAATATTTGCACTTTCCTACATTCTAAATAGAAATGTATACCTATGAAACCCCTGAAAACCATTTACAAGAATATTTTAAAACAAAACCTTTAAAACACTTCTTTGTGTTGCCCTGTAATTTCTTAAAGAGTAATATATTTATGTATTGTATTTTAGTATTAATCAGCATTATGTTTGAATTCAATTGTTAGCTAATGCTTCGATTGTAGCTGTTTACTTTGTAACCCTCTGAGTATCTCGCAATCCTTATTGCCTTTGTTATATGGCTGTTAATTATGCAAAAAGATATCAGGCTACGTGTGGAGATTTGGTAGCTTTCCTTATGACGACCACCACAATTGGAAATCCGCCATAAAACGCAACACGCTTTTTAAGTTGTAATGACCACAACGAATATAGAAACGTCCAAGCTAACGAATAAGTTGTATTATAGAAGTTAAACTGTTTTGCCATAGACTGCGTGTGCTTCAAGGGATATTTTGGACGCAACCCGTGTCAATTGTAGCGCTTTCAGTGCCGACGCCCCTGACTAATTTGTCACTTTTGTTCTCGCCTCGAAGGGACTTTCAGAATTACTTGTTTGTTTTTCTGTATAATACCAGTTGCCATTTTTGGCAGTTTTTTTTTTTATTTATTTTTTGCTTACAACCCTTTTCAAGGGCAATTTCGTATTCAAATGTTGTTTGGCTCGGTGTCTGTCTCGCTTTCTCTGCATTTAGTTGCTGTACGTGTTCGTTGTGACCTGCCCCGCTTTCCATTTGCCTCGTAGCCAGTACTTTGAGACCACATCCCCACCGGAGAGCTTTCATTCGCACGTAATTAGCTGTTAATTTGGACTACCACTTGGCAGCCGGGCGTGGAATTTACTTTGTAACTTCTCCATGATTCGGTTTGGGACAGGGCGCTCATGGGGGAATTGGGAAAAAACGTTTTTGATTTGCCACAGGAGACATGGGTTTCGTATAGTTTATTAACTATGCCTTTGCTACACAATACGTTTGATTTTAATTGGCGAGATTTTCGAATGTCAACAAATGTTTTGGGTGCTTAGTCTAATGGTTATGTAGTATACATATATAATGTATAATATTATGAAATATAGTATAGTTAGTTTAATACATATGTGCGCTTACAACAGAAAGTACGCTTACAATACATAATACATAATGCAGGACTTAAGCATGTCGCATGTGCAAGTCCTCTCAATTAAAGTGTAGAACAATTTTAATATTAACACGATATTCCTTACTCATTACTATTGGTATTAATGATTGAAAAAAATTTAACATAACATGGTATGTAGGGGCTTAACATTAGCCTGTTTCAGTCTAGCTTGTCCGAGGTAACCACTTCGTCCACAAACTTCTGAAGCTCGGCTTGGGCCTCTGCGTCGGCGGCTTCCATGATCTTGTTGAGAATGCGCCAGTGAAAGTGCTTATTCAATAGGCCCCGCTTGATAACAATGGCGGGCATCATGATGTCGAAGTGCCGTGGTCTCCAAGCGGCACGCAGCCGCGGAATGTGGATGCGATTGTTGACCACCTCGTAGTCGTCCGCCTCGTAGATGTTGTGCTCCACGCGCTTCTCCTCGCCTGACAGGTTCGGCTGCTGTGGTGCGATGTTCCTAGCCCGGCTACGGGGCTTCTTTGGCGCTGGCGGAAGTCGATTCGAATCTGGCTGGCGGTTGACCAGCTTCGCCATCCATCTAACATGCAGTGCGGCCAGCGCCTGGCACTCCGTGTGGGTTAGGTTTGGGATGTCGTGGCACAGTCCTTCCAGCATGTCGGACAGCACATGCTGCGGAAAGCGGCACGAGTCCGGGATCCAGTTGCCACTGTCACCAATCATTGTGATTGAAATGGATTTCCGAATGGATGTTATGCTGAATGAAAGCTCCCAACGCGGATCGATTGAGTATGCGATCGATATATCGATACTATGGTCATCGGCTTACTCAGTGGGTGTATTATAGACCGTGCACACTGGCATTAAAGCAAATGTAAGTGTTGAAAATACAAACATAGTTTTATTATGAATTCATAATAATCTCTGAACTTTTAAATACCTATATTGGTTTAGGCTCAGTTTTAGAAACCATTTACCCATACAAGAATGGAAGCGCACATTTAAAGAGCTACTAACTGTGTGGCACCACAACATCCTGGCCGTTGGACAGCTCCAGTTTCGTGTGAGACGTCACAAGGAGCAGGGAGCAGCAGCCATTGGGGCACCACCCCTGCAGTGCAACCGCACCCGCTCCCACCCATTTGGGGACCCAAGTAACCCCCGGAACCCGACTGACAAGCAAATTACTTGACCGGGGCCACACCAACCACAAGTCCAAGGTATGGCTGGCAACCGTTGACTTTGCAGCTAATTATAAATGAAATCCGATATCGAATGGCACACTGGGACACGCCTTTGTGCAACACCCAGCCGCCACCACCCGCCCTCTCCCCCTCACACACACACACACACACCGAATCAGCCATCGAGTACACAGACAGTGCCAATTCATTTGGAGTTTTGGAAGTCCTGGTCTTGGAGTCCACAGTTCTGGAGTCCTGGAGTCCTACCGGCCGCCAGTCTGTGGTTCTCGGCAAACAAACAAATAATGAAAACACCACAAAGGAGCGGGAGGGGCGGCGTGGCATTGTGGGCGTGGACCGAGAACAAAGTGGAAAATTCATAAAATGTCATTGTCGCTTTATTAAAACGCGCCAAAAACCTTCACGACTCCCCACCACTTGCATCGCAATCTAACCCCCATTTCTAACACACAATTATGCAGTGCAAGAAATAATTCTTGAGTGTGTAATTGATGGATACAGAATTTACTGATATGCGCCTAAGGGTAAGGAATTATTTAATTTATTTGTTATATAATGTAGCTAGTCCGAAAGGTATTTTTTTGTTGCATGCCTAAGAATGTTTGTTGCATGTTGCTTATGCTTTGGAAACCTTTTAGGTGGAGTATTTTCACCAGTGTACCCACACATAGATGTCAATCGTGGTACAACAAAGGGGGGTGTTTCCGAGGGTGGGGTTTCGAGATGGGTGTGGGTGTGTGTGTGTGTGTGTGGGTGGGGGTGGGGCGAATGAGTGGGTGTGTGCTTTGGCAAATTGGGCGGACGGCGACGTTGTCTGCTTTGCCATCGACAGCTGTTGGCGTCATTTACAAAAGCTTTTTGGCCGTTTTATGGGATTTTGCAACAGTTTCATTTTCATTTTGCGCAGGGCGCGCACTCACACTCATGGGCGGGGCAGGGAGGAGGTGGGGGAGGAGTTTTGGGGGTCGCATAATGCCGCCATTAGAAGTTGCCGCCAAGCACTTGCTAACGCCAAAAGATGATGATGAGCAGCAGCAGCAGCGGCAGCGGCAGCAGCGGCAGCAGCAAGAGCAACAAGGACCATATGCCACATGCCATATATGATGTGTATGCAGTGGCATGCGCAGCAGGGGTCCCAAGCCCCATATTCAAATACTACTTAGAATATACTATTTTTCATAAGTGCTAGATACCCTTGAGAGTAAATAGTAATAATCAAACACGCTGCGATTTTCCCAAAGAACTGTAGCCTCGAACCCCCCTAATAGCATACAAGAAACGCCCATGCATGTTACGCCGCAGTTGTATCTGTAGTTGTGCGATGTTGCGACAGCGATAATAGCTGCAACGTTTGTTGATTCGTTTGCCGTCTATATACATATGTACGTGTGTCCAACTCCCCTCCAAAGCCCCCAAAAAACCCCTCCCACGCGCCCATAACCATTTTCCCTTGCCCATTTTCCCAAGCGTCGTCATCGTCAGCGTCATATTTGAACTTTTAATATTGACGCCATTTAACACGTTCGGGTGGAAATTTTATAAATGACTCTGTCTGTCGTTGGCTGGCTCCCTACTGCAGCCCCCTTGCAACCCCCTTGCAACGCCCTTGTAACCTGCTTGTAACCTCCTTGCAACCTCCTTGTAACCCCCTATGACCCGTGTAACCCGTGTGGCCCCGCCAACCTTCGATCCCCATCGACGCGACAAGGAACAATGATGATAATGATAATGATAGTGACGATGATGGCGATAGCGCTGATTATGCGGCTGATTTGGGCCGTGAGTGGTGCGCCCTGAAAATGCAGTTTATTCGATGACTTACCCGACTCTTTGTGGCCATGGCATGGATAATTGAATCAATGGAAAATGCGATCAGGTCCCGCAAGTCACTGCAATTGCTTTGAAATGGGCTCCAGCTGGTTAAATGCTCAAATTTCATCATAAATCCATTGCATTTGGAAATATATTTGAGTATTTTTATGTTATATGTTTTGCGAACCGAAAGCTGTAATCCGAAACCGTAGTTTCAGGTTTCCCGAAGTCACTGCTCAACCTGCTGGAAGTCACTTGCGGCTTTTGGCTGGGATTGTCTGCGAATTAGCTGGAGGCGAATCACTTAAAGCGACCGCGCAGCTCAATCACAGCGACTCCAGGACTTTGGGGGCGGAACACTGGGACATTAGGACATCGGTACATCAGGACATCGGTACATCAGGACATCGGGACATCAGGACATCGGGACATCAGGACACGACAGTGGAGTCACTATCGAATGTCAGGAGTGTGTGGCATCTTATAAATCGATATGAGTGTCTGTTGCACAGACAGCGCGACTGAAACTGAGACTGAGACTGAAGTTCGATCGTTACTGCCGCCGCCCTGAGTGCCTGTGCTGCATACACTGCAAGAACTCCACTAGTTAGTTGCGGAATATCACCCACTTAACCAATTGCTTAAGCAATTTGCTGTAGATAGACCAAAGTGTAGTATGTTTTTGACCAGAGTATACACAGCAGTTGTGCGTCTTGTGGCAACTGGCCAAAAGGTGGCACGTTTTTCTGCCTGTGCAGCTGCGAGGGGTGCAAATGGGCGCCGGGGCTGTGGCATCGCGTCATCTTGTCAAATATTTCGCGCTAAATTAACACGACAGCGCGCCCAAATGGAGTAAGAAGATGTCAGCCGGGCCGAGAGGACAGACCTGGCACAGAGTCGCTGGTTGCAAGTGCCGGGTCCTCAAAGGACGCAAAAAAAGTACAGCTCAAGTGGTGCAGGGGCGTTGCAAAAAGGGGGAATGGTGCGGATGGCATAGCCATGTGCCGGCTCCTTGCACATACTGGTACATAACTCAAATAGCGACGCAGTTGTCTGCCCCCTTTTGTGTGTGTGTGTGTGTGTAAGTGCATAATTTGTTGGCTTTGTGCAACACCCTCCTCAGCACGCCCCTCGCGCCCTCCTACCATCTACCCCCGTGCATGGCAGACGAAGCCGTGCCAGGCATCAAGACAGGCCAAAAGTCGTTTGGTCGACCAGGACATCAGCCCGCAGTTTCGAGCCGACGATCGGACTACCCTACTGATACCCTACATAAATCTCAAATTGATCTGGCAGCTATGAAATGATCTACTATCTAGGTATCTAAGGTATCTAAAAGTGATACTCTAAATTTCATATCATATTAGATCCTAAAAGATCTCAAGGGCTTCCAACAACTGACAAGCCCCCAGAAAGGGTATAAGTGGAAAAGGAGACTGGAAAGATGCTAGCAACAGCTGCCGCTTGCAAAAGTTAACACTAACTAAGGACAGGCGGAAAGACAGACAGGGTGGCAGAATGAGAGGGCTTGATAGACAGAAAGAGGCGGCAAGAGTTGGTGCGACAGACCAGACAGAGAGGCAGCGAGTGGGAGCGAGAGGGAGAGCGACACAGACACGGCATATTATTAAAAATGATAGCAGCAATTTAGGCGTCGGCGTAATTAAAATTAGTCAACCTAATGATGCATCATCATCATTATCAGACAGCGGTGGCAACGAGTTAAGCCTGCTATTCAGCCTGCCCCATTTTGTGCCCACTGCTTCAAATACCAAAGTGCTAATAAATCGGCATTTTTAGATCTTGAGAAAGTATCACAACGCGGAATAAAACAATAAATAAAAGGATGCAGTCTTATTTACTATAATTGAAGTACATTTTACAGTTCAATTATGTTCATAGATCATTAAAAATACTTATACACATCCAGTTGAATTAAACCCTATAAATTCTTATGAATTTCGGCTAAATGGCAACGCATGGCACATAAAGTTCTACGTAAATCTGCGGTCATAACTCTGCACTTCAAAATGCCAGTTGTAAGTACATAATTTTCAGGCATTTATCCCCCCATCGATGACGTCATTATGGGGGGCGCATATGGCGCAAAAATTGGCGGGCAGTTACAGGCACCCAAGGACGCATTAAAAGCCAATAAGAACATCCGTGATGAGCATGAAATTAATTTACAGAAAGCACTTGATGGGCTTATTGACAGACGCGGGCATCGCACATTTATAGCCGGCCATGTTCGCTCTAAAACTGTTTGTTCTTCTGCCAGACTGTGAAAAATGGGGCGGGTATGGATACACATACACAGCTATACATATGCATGTGTATAGGGATATACATATATGGGGGGATGCAACCATAAACAGACGCACACTTATTAATTAAAAGCATACATTAAGGCCACACTCACCCACACAGACGCACACAAGGAATAGCGCTTTATGTGCGGCCAGATCATAAACTTCATAAAATCCTTATACGACCACCATCTACCATGTGCACTGCCCAAAAAAGTGCAAACCAACTATTCGATACTTACGTATTACTCAAATATATTAGCAGACCAATATGACTATTTTACTGGAACTATCTAATTTAGTATTGAATACACTACATTGCAAATGATGTATTTTTAATATGTATTATGTATTTGAAGCAAAGTAAGTTTCGTAGATACGTACACCTTTTTTCCCAGTGCCTGCTAACAGCAACATTTGGTGAGCATATTGAATCGCCTTCTTGGCCTTTTCGGGATAGCAATTGGCTTTGGTTTTGGGTTTCGCTTTGGTTTCGGGGCTT